TGTGTGTGTGTGTGTGTGAGTGTGTGTGTGTGTTTGAGTGTGTGTTTGACCTGTTGGCCTCTGGAAGTGCACCGTGATGATCAGCTTGTTCTTGTTCTTGCTGCAGGTGTGTCTCTGATGATGTCGTGGTTTGGCTGTGCTGCTTCCCTTCTGCTGAGAATAACACACAGTAAATCTGTTTTCTGTTGACAGTATTGTGTGTTCCTCAGCTGTGAGTGTGTGCTCAGTTCTTACGGGGTGCGTTCTCTCCGTTTGGCATCTCTCTCCTCCACTGCTGGACATCTGTCCTCACAGCCGTCGTCCTGCAGACACACGAGAGTGAAGATCTCATCCTGTATCTCTAACAACACCCTACAGCTTCATTCACTCAGAAACACACTGGTGCACCCTCTGATGACGAGGTGAGTGTTATGTGGTGTTACCGTCGGTTGTGATGTCGCTCCGGGACGGTTCGTTGTGATGCTGCTCCTCTCTGAGAATCAGATCAGATCAGACTGTGATGAACGTCACAGGATAGTGAATAGGGCTGCACAATTTGGGGGAAAATCTAATTGCAATTTCTCTGATAAAAATTGTGATTTAAAATGCTGAAAAACCTCCATATTTGCTGCAAAATTTGGAAAAAATTTTGAGATTATATATCAATATAACTATAATAATATTTATTTATTTTAATAGTTGAGATTATATATCAATTATAACTATAATAATTATTATTATTACTACTAAATAAAATATTAAAATTAGAAATATTACTTTTGAAATATTTCACTGTAAAATAAATTATATTAAAGATAATAATGTAAAACTGTAAAATGACCTTACTAATATTTATATCGTAATTGTTTAGTTTTCAAACATTAAAGCATCAAGCTTTTATTTTGACAGAAAACAGCAGGGAGCCCTTAAATCTTTTCTTTTGTTGATAAGTGCTCCTCTTCAAAACTTCAACGAGATAGTTTGTTAAAGTGCTTGTTAAAGCGACTCAAACTCAGAGCAGATGCAGATGGAGTTCATGCAGATCATTTACTGTGAAACCAAGACTGAAAGCACTGGATCATGAGCTGCTCGCGTGTAAATGAACACAGTGCCGCGCTTCACTTTGAAACACACAGCGCATGTATTTAATTACATCACAGCATTTGTGATTTAATAATTGCATTAATCCATATTACAGTTTCGGTTTTATTCCAATTTATCCTGCAGCCCTAATAGTGAGAGGTTGAGAGAATAAGTGCATGCTTCATGTTTAATATTCAGACAGACTGACCTGCTGTAGGAGCAGCTTCTGCTGTAACGCTTCACTCAGTTCACTGACCAGACGCTCCTGCACTGAACCAGATTATTATTATTACTACTAAATAAAATATTAAAATTAGAAATATTACTTTTGAAATATTTCACTGTAAAATAAATTATATTAAAGATAATAATGTAAAACTGTAAAATGACCTTACTAATATTTATATCGTAATTGTTTAGTTTTCAAACATTAAAGCATCAAGCTTTTATTTTGACAGAAAACAGCAGGGAGCCCTAAGTTTGGATCTTTTGTTGATAAGTGCTCCTCTTCAAAACTTCAAACTTCAAGTTTGTCGAGATAGTTTGTTAAAGTGCTTGTTAAAGCGACTCAAACTCAGAGCAGATGCAGATGGAGTTCATGCAGATCATTTACTGTGAAACCAAGACTGAAAGCACTGGATCATGAGCTGCTCGCGTGTAAATGAACACAGTGCCGCGCTTCACTTTGAAACACACAGCGCATGTATTTAATTACATCACAGCATTTGTGATTTAATAATTGCATTAATCCATATTACAGTTTCGGTTTTATTCCAATTTATCCTGCAGCCCTAATAGTGAGAGGTTGAGAGAATAAGTGCATGCTTCATGTTTAATATTCAGACAGACTGACCTGCTGTAGGAGCAGCTTCTGCTGTAACGCTTCACTCAGTTCACTGACCAGACGCTCCTGCACTGAACCAGACACGTCCTGCAGATCAAACACACGCCTGATCATTAGACGAACACTGCATAAAATGCATTGTTGAGAGAAAACACAGATCAACTGTGTCACCTTCAATTCAGAAATAATGTAAAATACCTGTACATAAAACCGTTTACAATCATTATAAACACAATAAAGAGGTATTTAAGTTCCCCTCACTCTTCAAAAAGTCCTTAACATTTAATAGAATTCAGAAAAGACCAGGAATAAAACAAATATAAGTATAAACCAAACATAAATTACGGTGGCATTCATTATAAATAAGACTAAACAAAGCTTTATAGCTTTAAATAAACTTGAGCTCACGTTCCTCTCACATTCAGTGCTATGTTAATAACACTGAGATGCTATTATAGTTTTTGTTAATATTTAGAATTTTAAAAAAAAATTCAGCTTTCATGTGTTTTTTTCATATTTTTTATGAATTTTTAGTAATTTTGTTGCGTTTTTGTCAGTTTTAGTAGTTTTTGTTTTGTGTGTAAACATACCTGGCAATAAAGCTCATTCTGATTCTGATTCTGAAATGTTGCCATGGAAACTTTTTAAATATTTTATGTTACTTCAGTTAACATGCATTCCATTTCAAGTAACTAAAACCTTTTTTTTTTTGTGGTTTTAGTTGACTATAACAACCCTGCTCTCATTCAGCACCAGTACAAACATGTGGTTTGAGCGTGTTTTGTATCTATGATGTTAATTGCATTATTAGTCGCTGTGAAATATAGGTCGCAGCACGTTTCAGATGATAAAACCATGACTTGTATTGTGGAAAATGCAGTGATGTTTGTGTTTAGATCTCACCTGGCATTTGCACAGCAGTCGAAGGGCATCTTTATAGTACATGGCAGCTTTATCCGGGTCCCTCATCTGTATTCTGATCCCACCGAGACCCTCACAGGCCTGCCACTGACCCGACGGGTCGTCTGCGGGGAGAGAGACAGACAGCCGTGTGACAGAAGCACGTTTACACTTGTCTTTTCAATGTGTATGTGTAAACATACCTGGCAATAAAGCTCATTCTGATTCTGATTCTGAAATGTTGCCATGGAAACTTTTTAAATATTTTATGTTACTTCAGTTAACATGCATTCCATTTCAAGTAACTAAAACCTTTTTTTTGTGTGGTTTTAGTTGACTATAACAACCCTGCTCTCACTCAGCACCAATACAAACGTGGTTTGAGCGTGTTTTGTGTCTATGATGTTAATTGCATTATTAGTCGCTGTGAAATATAGGTCGCAGCACGTTTCAGATGATAAAACCATGACTTGTATTGTGGAAAATGCAGTGATGGTTGTGTTTAGATCTCACCTGGCATTTGCACAGCAGTCGAAGGGCATCTTTATAGTACATGGCAGCTTTATCCGGGTCCCTCATTTGTATTCTGATCCCACCGAGACCCTCACAGGCCTGCCACTGACCCGACGGGTCGTCTGCGGGGAGAGAGACAGACAGCCGTGTGACAGAAGCACGTTTACACTTGTCTTTTCAATGTGTATGTGGACAACATCTGGATACAGGTCGCATGTAAATGCAGAAGAGTCAATTCAAGTACGATGATTGTAACCGATCATCTGGAGTTCGATCCTACAGCCATTAGTCACCAGTCCTACGTTTACTGGATTCATCTGTTCACATGATGATTTAGTGCCAGTAGTTTTCTGTGAGATTTATTATCATCTGTATGTCCTGCAGAAGCAGCTGAAGGAGACGCAGAAGTCATGAGTGAGTTCATTACATAATCATCAGTCAGACTCTCATCTGATCATATTCTTTTGAAAGAGACTCCGCTTACATGATCATGAAGACAACATGAAGTCAGGCTGTATAATAGCAATGCTTCAGTGTATTGAAGCCAAACCAAACCTGACTGTGTCTTAAGGGTCCTTGTGAAGTTTCAGTGTCTCTAACTGCTCTAAAGTAATAAATAATGGTCAATCTAATCATAGCCTTTGAGCTGCTTTTCCTGAGCAAATCTACTCAACCCTACAGTGAGACTCTATTGATGTGCTTGAGCTGTTAGATGGACATTTATATTCTTAGCAGATGTTTTATCATCCAAACTATTTCCTAGAAAGTTCACATATAGTGTAAGTGTCAAATACCAGAATTTGTAGCTCTAATGTGATATAATGGATATGAGAAGAATAAAGCTGATGCTGTGAAAGTGCTGGATTGAGGTGAGTTACTAAAGATCAGTCGAGTCAAATCTGATGTTCCTGCAGCTTATTGGGTGAAGTGTGGAGCTGATGAGTGTGTGTGTGTGTGAGTGTGTGTGTATGTGTGCGTGTGTGCGTGTGAGCGTGTGTGCGTGTGTGTGTGTGTGTGTGAGTGTGTGTGTATGTGTGCGTGTGTGCGTGTGAGCGTGTGTGCGTGTGTGTGTGTGTGTGTGAGTGTGTGTGTATGTGTGTGTGTGTGTACCAGCGTCTCTGAAGGCCTGCTGTGCGTGTAGGTAACTCTCCCACGCCTCCTCCAGCTCTCCCAGCTCCACCAGAGCAAAACCCAGATTACTGAAGCAGCGACCCTGAGCTCCACGACTGCCCAGAGAGCCTGCGGGACACGCCACACGACAGTAATCATGATGACACGCAGCACATGCACCAAATATAACAGCAGTAAATAATACCTCTACTGAAAAATTAGCAGAATGTGATTTTTGTAAGACATCTTTGACTATAACGCATATTTTTGGGAATCCATTAATGGATACATAACAATAAATGTACTGTTAGCACTTTGTATCATGTTATCGCCTCCTTAAGATGAATCACTTTATGATCATTTTGTAAGCATTTTTTTTACCTACTGTTTATTAATATTTAATGCACAATCTAGTAGCTTACCAGGATTTCACCGCAAGTTGTATAGTTTATATAACTGTTTATGTGACAATTATTATGGTAAACCAAAACTAAAACCATATAAACTTACTTTAAATAATATATATATATTCAAATATAAAATAAAATAAACTTATTTCAGCTAGTCGCCATAGCAACATTTCTCATTTTAGTATAACTTGATGTACTAAAATAAACTAAATCTGAAATAAAAAAAAATGGAGAAAAAAAACTGCTAAAAATGACAAAAAAGGCACAAAAGTATCATTAAAGCTAACGAAAATGAAAATGAAAACGGAAAATATAAAAAATAAAAGCTTGTTCAAAATATGAATTAAAAAAAACTATAATAGTATCTCAGTGATTCTAAAATAACACTGGTATGTGACGAATAAAAATCTTGAAACTTTAAAAGGAAGGTCTAATGCCAATTCATGCATTCTGACTTATTTACACTGTTGCTAAACATGGCCAAGGTTTCAAAAAAACCAGTTGGACGTATGACGGAGTATTTCTGTGCCAAATACACACCTGTGCCAAATATTTTATAATAGCCCTGTGGTGAAAAATGAATTTTAAATTCAGTATGAGCTCAACAAACTGCATGTACATGTAGAATAATTCTGGAAGGAAAGAGCTGTTTCTAACAGTAGATGCACTGTTGCATGAACTGACCACATGCTCACGACTGATGTAAACTCTCTGATGGGTCAGGTGTCTGAGGTGTGTGTGTCTCACCGTGGAGCGCCGCTGCGTCTCGGTGGAATCTCAGGGACTGCCGGTACTGACCCAGAGCGTTATAGACGGCGCCCAGATTCTGCAGAACCACAGCCAGTCTGCGAGGTTTGGAGGAGACCAGAGGAAGCGCCTGCTCGTAACACTCCGCCGCCTCGGAGAACAGCCTCATCTGAGAGAAACTCAGAGCCACGTCGCTCAGCAGCTTCCCTGAAACACAGGTGACCACATACAATCATTTCTATTCTGATTATGATGTTCGCGGGTCAATTCGACCCACATATTCCATATGATAAAGGCAGCTACACTAAACCAAAATATTTTTGCGAAGCCAGCGAATTTGTGATCAGGCGATAAGGAGGATGAAGCAAAGTTTTTAAATATTTACAGTAAGTTTAGCTTGTATAGCACTGTCTCTGTAATACACCGAAAAACAACAGCTCTTGTCTCTCCACTGACTACCTCCGCAACTTTCTGTCATATTCACCAAGTGATAAAAAAGAAATACCGGTAAGTAAAGTTGCACAGAATTAATGTAAACGTCACATGAATTCTGAGATGACCGTTCAAACTACGGTCGCATTGCAAATCATCTGACCTGAATCAGATTTAGTGCCACAAATGACCCAAATCATAACCGAAAAGATCAGATTCCATGTGGCTCGAGCTGTTCACACTGTCATGAAACTAAACGATCTGAGTCACATCACATATGTGACCCAGGAGCACAAAACCAGTCTTAAGTGTCAATTTTTCAAAATTGAGATTTATGCATCATCTGACAGCTGAATAAATGAGCTTTGTTAGGATCGGACAATATTTGAAAATCTGGAATCTGAGGGTGCAAAAACAATGCACAACTGAATTAAGAACTAAAATCATCTGCACATGATCAGCCATTACGACACATTTCACATATTTGGGCTGCAAATTGAAGGAAAATGCATTTCTGTGTCATGAGTCAGGTGGAACATCCTTATCAAACACCGGCACTCTGCTAGACGAGAATAAAAGAATCAAATATATGTATTTGTGACCCTGGAGCACAAAACCAGTCTTAAGTGTCAATTTTTCAAAATTGAGATTTATGCATCATCTGACAGCTGAATAAATGAGCTTTGTTAGGATCGGACAATATTTGAAAATCTGGAATCTGAGGGTGCAAAAACATCTAAATATTGAGAAAATCACCTTTAAATGAAGTTCTTAGCAATGCATATTACTAATCAAACATTAAGTTTTGATATATTTACGGTAGGAAATGTACTAAATATCTTCATGGAACATGATCTTTACTTAATATCCTAATGATTTTTGGCATAAAAGAGAAATGTATAATTGTGACCCATACAATGTATTGTTGGCTATTGCTACAAATATCCCCCAGCGACTTAACACTGCTTCTGTGCTGCAGGGACACAAATGAGCAAAAAAAAATCAGATTTGGGCCACGTTTTCCTGCAGTGTGAACATAGCCTAAGTGCTTTTCCACACTTCTGTTTAAAGTGTTTTATCTTTTAATTATTTTTCTTGCTCTTGCAATGCTTGCTATTGTTGTGTAATCTTATAATTGTGGAGTTTCGTGGAGTGTTTGTCTTCCCAAATAAGAGAGAAGAGAGAATATCCCAAAGGCTTTATGAGATTGGATGTTGATGTGAAGAAATTTGGTATAAAAACACTTCTGGTATTTGTGCTGACTAGACGAAGTTTGGGCATTGAAACATACGCAACTAAGATTACTCAATATCATTTCCAATAAACTTCGTCTCCTGCTTCTGCTCTTTCCTGGTATTCTCAGTCAAGTTTTTGGCTGATAGAAGATGTTCAGTAATGTTCAGTAAATCGCTGATTTCGGGTACCAGACAAAAAACACATTTTCTGACAGGATCTGGCATCCGGGGTTGGATCTAATATTCCTGATGTGGAGACTTGATTGAACTTGATTGAACCTGAGTATGTTCCTCGCTCATTTAGTGAGTATTAGCGATGCTGAACTTAATAATCATCACTGATCAGTGATAGCGAGCGTGTTACCCAGCGTCTCCGCATCGCTTATGTTCGCGCTCATCTCCAGGCTGTCGGTCAGCACGCTGATGATGTCCTCGCTGGAGCTGCGGCCGCTCTGCAGCATGTGTTTCCCAGCATGCTTCAGTGCCAGCGCAGCTGCAGACACGTTTCCCGTTACTTTATAACTCTCGGCGGCTCGCTGGAAACTCGCTGCAGCCTCGTCCCACTCCTGCATCACACACACAGAACAACCGGCTCAAACACACCTGCAGCTCATGCATTAGGATCAAATAAACCAGACCACTCGTGCAAATATAATGATAACATTTTGTCATGTCAGTTTCTCATCTTTAAAGCTATTTGCATTTATTTTACATTTATAGTTAACTAAAACTAAATCTAAAACCATTAAAAAAATCAATACTTGAAATAAAACAAATGCTAAGTGAAATAAAATAGAAATAATTATTTGTATTTATAAATGTATTAATTATTATTTTTATTTATTTTAATTATTATTAGTTTCCAAGGAAACATTTCTCATTTTTATTTAGTTCGTTGATGTATTAAAACAAGTAAAACTAAAATAAAAATGAATAAAAACGTTTATTTTATCCAAAAAAAGAAATGCACACTGCATTGATCATCTACATTTTTATCAGTTCATTTATGTTAATTTCGCTGGGAATCGAACCCATGATCTTGGCGTTGCGAGCGTGGCGTATAACTTTGAGCTTCAGGGAAGCACAGCGAATGAGTAACACTTCTTCTCTTTAAAATGTTTTAAAAATACAATACGGTTATAAAATGTAGTTTGTGGGAACATTTTTTTTAAAAATCGTATGTACTCATTTTATTTTTTTGTATTTTTGCACTGCACAAGAATTATTAATGCTAAAGGTTAACTGTTTTTACCTTCTTTTTTTTTTCATAGTGTGACTTTTGGCAAATTGTATTGTAAAGCAATAACCCCCGTGAAGCCGTGGTTTACAGTGAATTTATAACAGCTGTAAACCACGGCTTCACGGGGGTTACTGCTTTTATAAAACGGTTATATACGTAGTAAGGTTTCACAAAATAAAACGGAGCAAATAAAGTGTAGTGATATTAATAAACACAGTATTCTTCCACCAAACAATGTAGCTCCTCAGAAACAGTTGTGGTTGCTACAAAGTGGTTGCCGAGCAACACACAAACGTAAACAAAGGTGTGTGTTACTTTGTAGCGTCATTTATAACAGCTTCGAACGCGGCTCAGCCAATCAGAATCAAGCACCGGAACTCTCCATTTTATAAAATCCAATTAGGGTCCATTTGAGCCAGAACATAACGACGGGAACACACCTGTCTCAGCAGGTGGCAGTGTGCGAGCCTGACGCACGTGTCTCCCTCGGCGCCGGCGTCTCCCTGCGAGCGGTACAGCTGCGCGGCCTGCAGATAGTGTCGCGCCGCCTGCGTTCGGTCCCCCAGAGCCTCGTGGGCCGTGGCCAGGTTAAACTGCATGTCTGCGATCCGCTCGCCTCTCTCGCCCGGCTGTGTGCGCGACAGGACATCCAGCCCCTTCTGAGGCTCGCCCGCCTCCACGTACGCCGCGCCCAGATTAAACGCACACGTCCGCTGCAGTCTCTTCTCTCTGAGCTGAAGACGACAGCAAGTCATGAGGCTTTACTCTGTTTCTCTGGCTGATATTCTCTGTCGTATTGGACTGACAGATGCAGCAAAAGCAGATGTTTTCAGCATCTAATATCAATGTAGAAATACCCGTTCACAGGTGTATGATTTATGAGTTTTCAATCTTTTAGATGTCACAGATCTAATCATTTTTGTGCGAGGGACCCCATTCTAAGATTTAAAAGAAATCTATATAGTTTCTTGTAGAAAGACCCAATTTATACTGATTTGTGACCCCGGAGCACACAACCAGTCATAAGTGTCAATTTATCTGAAATTGAGATTTATACGCATCTGAATAAACAATCTTTCCATTGATGTATGGTTTGTTAGGATCGGACAATATTTGAAAATCTGGAATCTGAGGGTGCAAAAAAATCTAAATATTGAGAAAATCATCTTTAAAGTTGTTCAAATGAAGTTCTTAGCAATGCATATTACTAATCAAACATTAAGTTTTGATATATTTACGGTAGGACGTTTACAAAATATCTTCGAGGAACATGATCTTTACTTAATATCCTAATGATTTTTGTCATAAAAGAGAAATGTATAATTGTGATCCATACAATGTATTGTTGGCTATTGCTACAGATATCCCCCATACATATACATATACAAAATATACATTTTACAAGAAATACTATTTTAGTTTTTATACTAAATTTAATGTTACCTTCCTTTTCTCTGTAATTGTTTGTGAAATTTACTAGATATTTCCACGTTTCTACACCAAAATGTTGAAAAATTAATATTAGAAGTAAGTCTAAAATATTATTTGGAAAATATTTAGTTTCTGTTATATGTAGTATTCTACTTTTTATCTCACAAATCTGACTCTTGTTTCTCGCAATTCTTTGTGAAATTACTTTTTAAATCACAATTCCAAGTTTAAATCTCGCAATTCAGAGTTTTTCTTCTTCTCTGAATTCAGAGTTTACATCTGGCAATTCTTTTTTTCTGCCATGGAAAAAAATAATAATAATTGTGACTTTTTATCTCGCAATTCTGATATTAAAAAGTCAGAATTGTGAGAAAAAAAATCAGAATTCTGAAAAAATTACCTTAGTTATTTTATTATTCCATGGTTGAAGCGAACTTCCATAATTTACTTACTTTAGTTTATTTTAATTTCTATGATTATTTTAGTCTATTTTTATTCATTTATCTTATCGTTATTTTTATTGAATTATTTGTATATTTTTTACATAGTTTGAAAACCACCGACCTAAACAATACAATATAAAACTTATATGCGGTATAATGCATGTTATGAAAAATAATGTGGTTTATGAGACTTTAAATCAACATGAAATGGTTTCTCATGTTACTTCTGCAATGTGGTTCATTAGGAATTAAATGGATGGTGAAAAGCTGTACAAAAAGCTGTATTTCTCAGCATATTATTTTAATTTACTATCCTAATCATAAACACACTGGTCTGTAGCATGTTTCCCATGCACTGCACTTTCTTATTCTTCTAGTTATTTACCTATAGCACTCACGAGTCTTGCAAATTCAGAGAAAACAGTTTACTTCCACGTTTCAAAATAAGGTGGATATGAGAGGTGGCTGAAATATTAGATAATGTATTACATTTTCATAAAAGATTTCCTTTGGAATATGTACATGAATGCATTGTCAAGTCAGTTCATGTTGATTTCACATTCTCTCAGTGTTTCTGAACCTTAGTGGCAGCCTTTAACGCGCTCCTGAAGCTCTGCAGCGCTGCGTTATTGTGTCCGCTCTGCAGAGCTGCATGTCCAGCTGCGGTCAGTCTCTGGATCTCCAGCTGAGCGTCGGTCTCCTCCACATCAGCTCTGTCCGTCCCGCTCCGCTCCGCTTTCTTCTTCTTCTTCTGCTGCTGCTGCTTCTCTCGAGCATCTCTGACTGGAGACCCATCAGAGGCCATGAGCTCACAGTAGATCACAGCTGAGAGGAGACATGATGCTCAACCTGAACACTCACACACACACACACACACACACAAACACACACACACATATACACACACACACACCCACACACACATATACACACACACACATATACATATACACACACACACATATACATATACACACACACACA